AGGGGTAGATAACACGCAGCGTGCAATCTGTCCTAGAAAAATTATGCGCCCGCAGCGTGCATTTTGAAGATATTTCTGTATTTGCACGATGCGTGTACGGTTATCGTAAAACCTTATGCGAACGCATCGTGCAAATTAGGTGAAAATAATTATTTGAACGCATTTTTACCCTGGCTTCATCAAGACTTGAACCTGGAATTCTAAAATAGACGTGCACGCCCTTGTCCACTCGTCCAGCGAACACGGCTGGCAGATAGCGCGTTCTGTACCCTTTATGAACTGCCCCCCTCCGTAGGCCCCTGAATTCTCCGCGTGCGCATAACGATTCTGCCGTAGTCCGCACGCATCGTGTCTATTCTCTTCGTTCCACTATGCGCACGCTTAAAAGAAAATCCCGCGTGCGCATAACTATTTAGGGGTAGATAACACGCAGCGTGCAATCTGTCCTAGAAAAATTATGCGCACGCGTCTCTGTGCAGAAAATTCCGCGTGCGCATAACACAAATTGGTATTTGTGCACGCATTCCGCGTGCACATAAGTTTTTCTTGGCTTATGTACACGCAGCGTGTACATAATATCGGTCTACCATCATTACCGTCTGTAAGGCAATACACCACAGTTTGCGGGTTTGACTACCCGATTTGCCCGTAAGGCGCCATGGCCTGCTTGGGTATGCAAACCCCCAAAACTGGGGAGTATTAGCCTTCACACTCGGTACAACTCTGGCATGCTGACGAGCAAGTCAGCGGCTTCGAAACGCTTACCCAGTTCTCATAGACCTGCCTGATGGACAGCACCACCGACCCCGTCGTTTGGTTCACGATAAGTTCACGCAACTGTAAAAGATAGGCGGGCAACAGGTTATCCTATCTAGGGGTAGGCATCTAGTGCGTCTAGTATTTGTGGGTGAATGGACTTTGGACTTACTAAACATACTAAACTAAAAGTACGCGTCACAGGCACGCAGATACTGCGTTAAGTGCGTTAAAGGAAGGCCAAATTGTAATATCTAGGTTAGTCTCAGGTGACAAACAAAAGTAATGTGCTTATGTGCCTACAAATGAAATGAAAACAAAAAATCGTTCTGTGTTCACCACAGCCCAGCGCAGTGCAGCACTTCTAAATTCAAATACAACGGCCATGTATTTTAAACTCTACTGATCGAAAATATATCTCTACTCTAGAATTCTCGTACTGTGTACATTCTGAAACACAGGCACATTTACGAAAACTACGTCAACGAACTACAAGAAGCGCTAGCTTCTCATACACGGACAGACTCACGACGACTCGGGTCACTTGTCCGACTGAGCTTCGCTTCGCTCAATGACGAGTTTCGCCTTGCTCGGCGACGAGTGAGCCTCGCTTTGCTCAGCGGCAACCGCATTCGCTGACCTCTTTCATGGACTTGCTCATGTTTCCTAGGAACGGTACGTCCTCCTGCTCCAACTCGGTCAGGTCCAAGCTGTTGAAGCCGGGTTTTAAGATGCCATTGAACTAAGAAAAAAACAGTGCGTCAGTCAGTTGTTAATTTTCACAGTGCAGTAAATTAATTATCCTGTCCCTTTCTGCTACGAACCCTCGCGCGCATCTCCGGGTGGAACACGACCAGTCCGTTGTTGGTGACCATGAAGATGTACCCGTTGACGCCCACCTTGTG